TCCTTGTATCTGAGGCAGGAAACTCAGCCTTATATGTTGTTTTTGGGGTGGTAATTATGCTAATCTCTCACGTGCACAAGCAGCTGGATAGAACAGGTGTAATTTACGCAGCTCATTTACACACTTTTCCTGAAGATAGAAGAGTTTGTTGAATCTGACGTAGCATGTTCGTACGAACCCTTTGTACGAACAAAAGTAAGAGAAATTTAGGAGAATACGAACATGTTCTTGCATGAGGCCCATTGTCTTTCACCAGCCTTCGTGTTCCTCTCACTGTCTCACTTTTGAAGAGAAATCAAACAAAAAGTTGAGCTCAGTTCCTGACAGCCCATCTGTGAAAGTGTTGCTGTCTGTATTCCGATTATGTTGACTTTTTTCACTTGTTGCATCGAGAGGAAACGCAAATGATACAACAAAGTGTTTATGTTCCTTTTTTTCCCTTTTTCATGTAATGCCAAAGTGTTTGAAAGTGAAAGTGTTCTTCTGTGCTCTGAACTTCATCCTGGAAGCAAATTACATAACAAGAGCTCTGCAAAAGAGCGAGTGGGTGCAGTAGAAGAGTGTAAAGTGGGGTTCTGTGTTCCTGAGTTTTCAGTGTAGTTTATTGACACGAGGATGCTGATTTCCAGATTCTGTTAATTTAAAACCTGATCAGCAAAACTACTCTCAAAAAGTGTTTTGGGCAAATAAAGTGACATACAAAGTAGTTAAGGGGCAGATATAAGATGTATTTTTCTTCACTCTGCACCCTTTTCATTCAGAACTTTTTTCCCCTCTTTCATATACATTTCATTTTTTGAGTGAAATACATTTTTTTATTTTTTAAGTAATTATAAGTAGTAGTAATAGATTTCAAAACCAGACATGCACACATACTTAATGCTTAAAAGGAAGCTGAGAGCAATATAAAGCTGAAACTTGTAACTCATCCAGAGTGCTGAAGTGTCTTTGTGGTCTTTCACTATTCACCTTCCTGAACAGTAAAACAGTTTTTTGGGAGCAACCTGCTCTTAGTACATTTACACATGCTGAACATTGATGGACTTAACAGAACTCCTGGGGATGTTTAGGGCCTTGAAAATCCTTTTGTATCCATATTCTGACTTGTACTTTTGAATAATATTTTCTCTGAGTTGAATTAGTGCAGTAAATACAGTAATACTTAAACAAACTCACACCCGTATGCACAGCTCTGACTATAATCCTCACACATGGTCAGCTCTGACATTTTCCCAGTTTTGTTTGTCCTGCCTAATTAGCCAACACTTCCCCTCACCTGGTGCGGTGTTGGCCAATCAGTGGAGCCTGCTCATTACCCAGAGATTATGTCAGGGTCTGTCAAATGAAGAGTGAATGTGACAGTTCAATGTAATCTCAGCAATAAGCTTCGCAGGGCCGCCCCCTCACTGCTGCTCGAGGATTCAACTTGGCTATCCTCGAGGGGCACACTGAAATGAACTCTGAGGCTAATTAAGATGCCATGTTATTCAGTTACTTTGTCTTTTATCTGCCTTTTTTTCTCTTTATCTTCTAGTTCTGTATGTCTTCCCTGGCCATCACCATGCCAATACCATGTGGAGCCTTCGTTCCTGCATTTGTCATTGGTAATTAACACCCTCATCATTTTCAAACATTGAGCCTCATGCAAAAAACGTTGGTACGAACAGATTTGTTCTTAATTGTGCATACGAGTGATTTAGGAGAATTTGTGGCATTCACCAATTTTCTCGTATTTTAAGATTTTCTTCAGATACGAACAAAATCACATGTGAATAAATACTTCCTGGCATGTGGGGCAGGAAGTTGCTTATATGATATTATTGGGGCGGTAATTATGGTAATGTCCTGTCCTCGTGCACGAGCACCTGAATACTTCCAGGTGGCATTTATCAGCTTACACTCCTCATTTACACACTCTTCCTGAAGATGGAAGTGTTTGCTGAATCTGACGTGGCATGTTCCTATGAACAGCAGTAAGAGAAATTTAGGATAAAAATACAAAAATGTTCTTGCGTGAGGTCCATTGTCTACCAAATAAAAAAGACGAAAACAAATGATGGTCAAACTAACATGGGAAAAAAACATTAGAATATAAATGATAAAACATAGTGTGACACGTGTAGCTTTTATTCATCCTTTTTCTATATTGCCTGATGTTGAGCAGGGTCAGGGTGTTTTTTTATTGTCCATTTAAGAGAAAAAAAATTTTTCAAGCTGTCATCTTTCTTTATTGTCAGCACCGCAACATTGCAGTCCAAAACTAAACTAAAGCACCAGATCAATGCATTCATAAATCTAAAGTAAATTTGCCTGCTGCACATAATGTTATTTATTTTCTTATTTTCTGCTCTTCGCAAAGTAACAAAGAGTCTGACAAACCAGTGTTAAATTACAAGCTCACTAGAGATGAAAATAACCCAGCAAATAATTAACTATTAAATCACCTACTAGCATGCTAATTCATGTAGCTTGTTGAAAATGATTGTTTCTGAACAGTGTTACCTTGGAAGAGAGATGGGTGGTGGACAAGCCAAGACTGACTGTGTTGTCCATTTCCAAATAAAATGTATACAGCCACCCAATGATGTATTTTCTTAAAGCATAACTTACCCCAAAATTAACTTTTTTCAGCTGATAAAATGTCTAGAATGTGTCTAAAATGTTATTTAGTACTGTTTCTATGCTAATTTTGATGTTTTTGTGCGTATTTGTTCAAATATGTAATATTTGGTATAAAAACGTGTTTTTGCTGCTCATATGGGTAGAGCAGTGGTACTGCAGGCTAATTTGCATATTGGTTAACGGCTCTCTATGGTGACGTGTCTTCTCCACGGTTTCATCACAGCGCCTGTGTTCTGGTATAAAAGCCTCTCCTTCCCCACCCACACCCCCTCCCCTACCCATTTTGATGCATTTTTCAAATATCGCCTTGGGGCGGGGTTATCTTTGCTCAGTAAGATACACTTTAAGGAGCATTGGCATTTCCTTTGAAAGAAATTGTTCAATTGTAGAATTAGGCTTCAATATTTATTTGCAACATGCAAGGTATTCCACAACCTTTCAGCACTGGGCCAAGTATTCAGGATTTCAGATCCCTGGCATGTGGCCCTGCCTTGTTCATTACATAACAGTTTCAACAACAACTTCAGAAACTGAGTCACGATTTCTGGAAATGACATCATGGCAAGAGAGGTAAGTGACCTGACCTATTCCTCGTGACTTGGCTCTGAAACAAGCTTAAATGTAAAAACATTGTGGGGCTGATTCATCATTGGATTGCTGTTGTAAAAAGACTCACAGACTTGACAGTGATTGCAAAGCTGCTTTATTAAAGGGATCCACAATTAGTTGTAGCCTTAGACTTTATTTCATAAACATATACTTTAACAGTAAAACAAAGACTGTAAAAATACTGTAAGCTGTTTAGTTTTGTACATTTTTAAAAATATATTTTAACATGAACATTAACTGAACACTTGAGCTCAGATGGGGTTGTGCATTT